ATCCCGCAATCATGTCGTGACAAAGTTTTATTTTGCCGTGATGCATTTATGTATTCCAGGCTTACGAAACTCTACGCCGCTACGCAGAACAACTATGTCGTGGCGTAAATCACAATTTCCAGAATACTGTACATGTGCACATATTACACAAACAATCCAATGCGAATTCCTCAGTAAACCCAGTTAATATATTAATCAATTTAAGCAATTTTAACAGATTGAAAAACCTAAACATGCATTTTTCTAGCAATAATCAATAAAAAAAACATAGTTAAAATATATACAATCAAGACCCTAGGCTCTGATACCACTGTTAGTAAATCAATGAACAAAGGCAGCGGAAAAAACAAAATTTTTGCCCATCGATTACTCTGATTTTTCCAAGATCAGGGTCTGATATATATATTACATGCTTAAACTGAAATAACACAAATCCATACAAGGATTAGATTATACTTGCGATAGCAAGCTCCGTCAGTGTCTTTGAATGTGATTCGCTATCGATTCAAGAATGGAATCAAACTCACATCATCCACACAAAGACAATAAGTCAATGACCAAGAATTAATTTTGCTAAAATTAATTCTTGGCTTTAAGGATTGTGTTTTGGAAGATTGAGTGTAGAGAAGAAGAGATAAATTTTTCTATTCAAAATTTGTCTCCTACGGTTGGAATGAAATTATATGTGAAAACCTATTTTTGCTTTCTTTAAATAATGGAACAAATATCTCTTCCACCCGTCAAGTTTAGCAACAACCCAAACTTTAGGTATAATCGCTTATTAACCCTTATTTAATTATTTAGTTAAATATTAATATTAACTCTAATAATTAAATTTATAATTTTGCTAAATTACACCAATAATAAAGTTGGACATAGGCTACAACCTCAGTAAATTCAATTATACATCAAAATTACCAATATGCCCATTTGTCTAAAAGACAACTATACCCTTCCAAAATTTATCATCCTTAAATTGTCTTCTAAGTGTGTGACCTATAAGATGCTTATCAAATCGGCAGTGAGTAGTATTGCGATTGACACCAATCAATCGTCTCACTACACACAAACCAAGATTGGCCCCTAGTAAGGCATCATGGCAACCCAATAGATTTGGATTAAGTGAAATAGCTACCTATCAGATCTGGTTACCGTGCAGTCAAATCCTTTCATCTTTTATTATCTCATCGAGGCCGAGGCATAGAAATAGTGTCAACCTCAGTTATCCTCGATATATTTATATTCAGCTACTAGATCAATGACCAGAATAATAAATTAGATTGAGCAACAACTTAATCCCACTATGGCCACAGCTTTAGTGTCATTGCCATTCACTGAATTGTGCTGTGAGATAACTTCTCCCGTACCCATGAGTGATGAATCCTCTGTCGATCCACCATAGAGTCTTGATACACTCCTACGTTGGGCTAGTGTTAAACTACACCAATCGGTGCATAATGCGCTTTGGTGATCTCAAATCTAAGGAACACATGCACAACCATTTGTTGGAGGATTTGTTCCATAGCAAGCACCCATGCGCTGCACCAGGTTGTTAGCAAACAACTTTGACAAGCGAGATCACTTACTGTCTTTTGACAGGGTTGTTCAACACTATAATAGCCTTACCGTATTATTTGTGTCCTTGGTCAAAATAATATTGGGGCTACAAACATTTCTAGAATGGTCACTACATGTGATCATAGGGTTCTCACTATCAAGATTTGAAACACTTGATACCATCGTCATGGTTCTACTATCCTAAGGATATATATCAATATATACCATTATGATTTACATGATATAGAATAAAATGTCTTTTATTGATTAATGAACATTATTACAAAGAGTCAATTCTACAATATTTGATTGGCTCTAGGGCACCTACTCTAACAGGACGTCTCAGCTCCCAACCCTGAGAGGCTACCAAGACTCTTGTCGTCGACGATCCATCTGCCCAGATTGGCAACGATCTCCTTGATCATGTTGGCAACGATGCCCCCACTCCTCTTACTACTTAGAAATTTTTCTTTTTGTGTATCTTTTTTTTTTCCTAGTTTAGTTTGTAACTAAACTTTATAATTAATGAAAGGCATTTTTTGCATATATCTGTCAAGCAATTTTTAATTTTTGCAAAGTCGCTTTGATCGACCTAATCGGAGTTATCATGAACAATTTGAATTTGCTCCAAGTTAAGCGTAGCTCACATTTTGAGGAACTTTTCGAATGCATATAAGAAAATCTTGTGTGACAACTTTGAGTTTGGACTGATTGCCCATCTCGAGTTTTAGCTGTTGGGTTATGACTGATTTTCCTTCGACGTGTTTTACTTGAATTTTTTCAAGTGTAACTTCGTCGATTTGAGAAATTTCACCCTTAATGAGTTGGATTTTGGCGTGGCTTATCGAGCTAAGCTGTCTTTTTTTCGAACTCTTGACTCTGAGTTTTTGGATGCAATTGTGTAGGTTGCGATTTTTGAAACAAAAGATAATAAATGACGAACAACATATAAATAAACCAAAAATGATGAACAAAGTAAAGTTCATGAATAATACCTCTTTTTATTAATAATATTTTGGCCACAGACGACCTTACAACATATATATGAGAGAAAACAAATCATTATTGGAACCTGAGCAGCTTATTGGTAATATCTTCACAAATGCTTGACTTTCCATGCTCGCAATATGGCTTCACCATTGAGGTGTTCTAGGTGGAAGAATCCTGGTGTGAGCTTTTCAGAGATCCTGAATGGATCTTCCTATTTGGGCCCAAGTGCCCCCAAGTTTGGGTTTTGTGTCCCTGGACAACCTTTCTAAGGACCACATCACCCACTTCAAAGTTCCTATTCTTGACTTTGGAATTGAAGAATCATCTGGCTCGCTGCTGGTACGAGGCAAGCCTTAGTTGAGACTTAGCTCGGTGATCTTCGATCAGCTCTAGCCTCAATTAGAGAAAATTTTTGTTTACTTCTTCATTGAAGACCTCCCTCTAAAACAAACTAATCCCTACTTCGAATGGGGCCATTACTTCACACCCATACGATAGAGAGAATGGGGTTTCTCTTGTCAAGCTTCTAACTGTCATTCTACAAGACCATATGGCCTCGGGCTATTTTTAAGCCATCTTCCCTTTAGGGCGTTGAGCTTTTTCTTAATGGTGTGCTTGCTCACTTTGTTCATAGCCTCTACTTGACCATTGGCTTGAGGCTGATAAACAGCGATGAAACTCTTTTTGATACCAAGCCATTAGCAAAAAGCTTTGAAATCTTCACTGTCAACTGTCTCCCATTATTGGTTATTATTGTATGGGGAATTCTGAACCTACAAATGATTTTTTTGTAGATGAAATCTTTTAGCTTGTTCGATGTGATGGCAACTAACAGCTCGACTTCTACCCACTTTGTGAAGTAGTCCACTGTAGCCATTGCGAACTTAACTGCCTATTTTCCTTCTGGCATAGGGCCTATTAGGTTGATGCCCCAAATTGCAAATGACCATGCGCTTGTCAAAGTAGTCAACTCTTGGGGTGGAGTTCACAGAACATCTAAAAATATTTGGCATTTGTCGCACCTGCGCACATAATTTGTTGCATCGTCAAATACTACAGGCTAGTAATAGCCCTGGCAAAGCACCTTGTATGCTAATGATCTACCCCCTGCATGGTTCCCACAGATGCCTTTGTGGATCTCTCTCAAAACATAGTCTGCATCTTCATGGTCAACGCACCACAAGAGCGATGAATTGCACCCGTGCTTATACAGCTTGTCGTTGATGAGTGTGTATCGAGCTGACTTTACTCGAAGTGTTTTGGCTTCACTTCTTCCTTCAGACCTTATTCCATCTTTTAGGTAGGCAATTATTGTATCCATCCAGTTGTATCTTTGCCCTATTACTAAGATTGGTTCTTGTGGGGCGAGGATGCTTGGACTTGGGAGGAATTTAACATGAATCGAATCAGTCTTCTCTTGGCTCATTGTCGAAGCTAGGAGAGCTAGAGCATCGACCGCTAAATTCTTCTCTCTCGGGATTTGAAGAATAATGAAAGACTTAAACTACTCGAGCTTAGATTTCACCTGTTGGAGATAAGATGCCATCTTATCCTCCTTCACTTGATATTTCGCAAAAATTTGATGGACTACAAGCTGAGAGTCGCTGTATATCTTGATGGACTCTGCCCTCATTTTCTTGTCGAGGCATATCCCCGTGAGCAATGCCTCGTACTCTGCCTCGTTGTTGGAGGCAGCAAACCCAAATCTGACTGTGGCTTTAATCGAGTTACCTTGAGGGCTTTCAAGCAAGAGCCCAGCTCCTGTCCTCTTCTCATTTGAGAACCCATCTACATACAGAGTCCACTGCCATAGATCATCAACCTTTGGTTTCTGCTACTCGCTTACCTCTGAAGTGCTCGCCATTGGCAAGCTTAATTCTCCCTCGGGCTAATAAGAAAATTCTAAGATGAAGTCTGACAAAGCTTGACCTTTTATTATTGTTCTCGGGATGTACTTGATATCATACTGATTCATTTCCATCGTCCAGTGGATCAATCTGCTCAAAGCCTCGGGCTTCTACATTATTTTTTTAATGGAAAGTTCGTCAACACATGTATGGAGTGTGCCTAAAAATAGGGCTGCAGCTTCCGAGCGGCGATGACAAGTGCATAGGCGAGCTTCTCTATCTCAGGGTATCTGGTCTTAGCATTGACCGACCTCTTGCTCACATAATACACCGGCTATTGCACTCCACTTCTTTGCGTACCAAAGCCACGCTGATTGCAAACTTAGATACCGATAAGTATAAAAGCAGCGGCTCGCCTTGGACGGGCTTTGATAACAAAGAAGGTTGCCCCAAATGCTTCTTCAATTCTTGGAATGCTTTCTCCCACTCCTCTATCCACTTGAAACCCTTTTCTTCCCTTTAGGGTCTCGAAGAATGGTAGACACCTGTCTGTGGCTCGGAAACAAATTTGCTAAGAGCGGCCACACACCTTGTCAAGCTCCAAACCTACTTTATGTTGGTCAGGCTTTTCATGTCCAAGAGAGCCTGAATCTTTTCCGGGTTGGCTTCAACACCTCGCTGATTGATCAGGAAACCTAGAAATGCTCTTGAGCTTACTCTAAAAACGCACTTTAGAGGGTTGAGCCTCATTCTGTATTTTCTAAAGATGTCGAACATTTCCCTCAGGTGTTCAACGTGGCTTTCAACAACCTTTGATTTGACGAGCATGTTGTCAATATATACCTCCATTGTTTTTTTGATTTGCTCGATGAACATCTTATTCACCAAACGCTGGTAGGTCGACCCAACATTCTTCAAGACAAACGACATAACCCTATAATAGTAAATACCCCGGTTAGTAATAAATGAGGTGTGTTCTTCATCGGGCTGATACATCTGGATTTGGTTGAATCCCAAGTATGCATCCATGAAGCTGACTGGTGCGTTCCCTATTGTCGTATCTACTAATTGGTTGATCCAAGGTGGCGAAAAACTGTCTTTTGGACAAGCTTTATTCAAATCTGCAAAGTCGACGCAAGTCTGCCACTTGCCATTCCACTTTTTTACCAAGACTAGGTTGGCGAGCCAGTCCAGGTATTTCACTTTCCTGATGAAGTTAATGTTCAGGAGTTTGTCAACTTCATCTTTGAATGCTTTAGAGCGTTCTGCATCCATAGACCTTCTCTTTTGCCTGATTGGTCGAGCTATTGGGTTGACATTCAATTTATGGCACATTACCTCGCAGTTGATTTCCACCATATCTACATGTACCCATGCGAATACGTCAAGGTTTTTCTTTAGAAACCTCGCCAAACTATCGGCCATTTCTTTGTTTAGATTGCTGTCAATTTTTAACATGCGAATTGGGTCTTCCTCGCTGATAGATATTTCTCGTAGCTCTATTGTTGGCCCTCCCACGGGCTCTTCTTTATGGATGCAAGGATCTATGGTATCCTGAGGTTTGAGGTTTGGCTCGGACTCTACAATAACCATGGTTCTCGGGAATGACCATTTTAGTGCAGCATTAATGGTCCAGTTGTAACATTCCCGAGATTCTTTCTTACAGCTTCTGATTGTCACGACCCCACCTCGAGTCGAGAATCTCATTGCTTGACAGCGCACTAAAGTGATTTCACTCAGATCATCTAGGATCGGTCTTCTGAGGATTACATTATATGTGGTCGGGCAGTCCACCACTAAGAATTTTGCCATCGCTGTCCTGATTTTGGGTTCTACCCCCAAGGTCATGGGCAGGTTAATCGTTCCCTTGGGGACCAGGCTATCCCTGATTAATCCATAGAGCGACGATGGGCACGCCCTCAAGTCTCTCTCGATGAACCTCATTTCTCAGAAAGCTCCTAAGAAGATGATGTTCGTTGCACTGCCATTATTGACCATCATCCTTAGTTCTCTAGCATTGTCGATCCTGGTTACGATTATAATTGCATCATGATTATGGTAAGGAGATTCTTCACACTCTTCCACTGTGAATCCTACACCTCACTCTCTTGTCTGGGTCATTTTGACGGCTTCTGTTCACAACTCATTACTCGAGCGATCGAGTCTGTTCTAGCCTCTCGAGCATATTGCTTGCTAGAGCGCCTTAAGCTCCCTATAATGTTGGGACCCTCGCAGATCATGCCTACCAGGATTTTGTTGTTGGCGTTGGCTGGGGCTTGCTAGATTTGGTTATTTTGCTTGCCAGTACTTTCGCGAGCTAGGGCCTCCTTAACAAATTCTTTTAAGTGACCCCTTCAAATTAGATTTTCGATGGCGTCCTTTAAAGCCTGACACTCGTTAGTGTTATGCTCGATGTCTTGGTGATATCAACAATATTTCTGTCGGACTCTTCTGCTTAGAGCCCCCCTCATTCTTTTTGGAGCAGGTAGTCTCTTAGCCTTATGGGAGACTTCATATATTTGAGCTACGTCTTGTGTGAGGAGGGGGCATTCTGAATACAGCGGGAAAGGTTGCCTGTCCCCGTAGTTATTTGTTCCTTGTCTTTTTTGGGACCTATTTCGGTCCCTATCATTGCAGTCTTGGCTCCTTCGCTTGTTTGTTGGGTGATCCTATCGCCTATCCGGGGCTCTTCTTGGTGAGCTTCTAGCCAGGGCAACTAGCGAGCTTTCCACTCACTGATGCTTAGCATCCATCTGATAAAACTTTGCCAAGCTTACATGATCTTCACTTTGGAGCTCTTTCCACAACTTCATTTGTGGCCTGATGCTTGAAATTAGCAAAGTCTAGATTGACTCTTTAGATGTATTCGTGACCATTGCCTGCTCGTTCTAGAATCACGTTAAATATGAGGTTAGTGTTTCGTCTCTTTCCTCATGAATGTTACTCAAGTAACTGAGCGGCATTGCAAACTGTCTCCTTACTTGGAATTACTGTAGGTACAGCAAGAAGAATTGTTATCAAGAACTATTAGAGTACGCCTTGAGTCTTTTGTACCACCTCTTGGCATCCCCTAGCGAAGCAACGACACTTTGCCAAGTCACACACCTAGTACAACTCCATTAGGTCGTTGAAAGTATCGAGGTGTTCTCTAGGATCTCCTTTCCCATCGAACTTACTTTTTGGCACCTTGAATCCCTGGGGAAGTGGGGCTTGGCAGACCTCCTCTGTGAAGGGAGAGCTCATTATCTCCTCCGTCGCATTGTTTTGGCAGGCTCTTAGATCATCGAGCATTTCCTTCACCCGATCTAAGTCTTCATGGTGAGGATTGCCCTGGCTAGCTTTGTTCAGCCTTACCTCGAGCAGGTGAGTTTGCAAATATGTTGCTTGTGAGCCCCCTCCATTATGCGCATTAATGTGCGAGGTTGAGTCATGATGACTAGGTTGGTAGGTGCTATCATGCTCATCAATGCGTTGCTTGCGATGTTGGTTATAACCAGAATGTCGGTCATTGCCAGATTGGCACACATGACTTGTCTTGCGAGGATTAAGCCTATCTTGGGCATGGGTTAAAATCGACATGCTGCCGTTGGGGATACCGTCGAGTAGGTTGGGTATCCCTCTAGAGACCATTATCTTCGTCTTCTCCTACGGGTTATTTGCCCGGTCACCTCCTAGAGTTAGTTTGCCTGTAGGACTCTCTTTCTTGTGTAGAATGCTCTCAGCAGTGCTAGGGTCGTTGGCCGTACCTCAACATCGATGAACTAGATTTGTTGCCGACTGAGTGCCACCCTGTCAGAGTGATGTCTGTAAAGCGCGGTCGGTCAATGTCCTGAGGGGTTGGTTGCTAATTTCTTAGCTTGACCACATTCTATTGCATAGCTTGTGCGACCATCGTTTTGATCATCTCCACCAATTGGCCATTCTTGGGATTTGATGTCCCTGCCCCTAATTGGTTTGTGGCCTGCTACGTCAGCGACATTTGTGGTTGACGCTAGGCGACGTCTTGATGCACCTCTTGGTGGATGGTCTCCACATTGTCGTGGCTCCCGATAGTGGTCTTTGATCTGGTTCGAACCATCGTGAACCTGAAGTGGTTTGGTCGCTGGGGTTGGTTGCCAGAAATTATGAAATTTGGTGGAGGGCCCTCCTTGTAGCGCCAAAATGTTGATGCAAAAATACACCAACCAAAGCGATTTGATCGATCTTGACGGGATCAAAATTGATGTGTGCGTGATTACGGGTAACCAACAATGGATAAACAATAAATGCAATAAAGAAAATGACATGACAGTTTTTAAAATGGTTCGGCGAGTTGCACTCTTGAGTCTACATCCACTGTTCTTGTATTTATTGTGAGAGCTTGCAATAACAATCCTAGAATAATTTGCTAACCCCTTTCTCCTCGTTGAACAGGGTTTATATACCAATTTTGTCCAAAGGAAAGAGTGAAAATAAAGGGATTACAATTAAGTTTGAAATGCAACTCCGATATTTTTACGATTGAGCGTTGAGATTGTGCCAAGATTGCTGTCGATCTAATCCCTTTTGAGATATCCGGGATATGGAGTTATCTGTGAATTGGTTGAACAACTGTAAGGATTGGTCGTGACTAGCTTATACTAGGTCGAGCTACAACTCAACGAGCTTCTGCTGGGTCAGACAATCGGTTGAGTCGAGCTGGTTTTGGATCGAGCTATAACATCACAATTCTCCGAGCTTGAAGGAAAAATCACACACAACATCATACTAATTGAAGAATATGTACAATTTTTTTATACAACCTTCTTTATACAAATTTATGTGTCGTGATATAATTGGATTGATTTAAAATTAAAGATAAATTAAACAAATTAAAGCAGGTAATAAAGTAAACATGCGATATTGTCCAATCAATTTGCATTAAATAGTTTCCATTATTAATTTCTTTGTGTAACTGTACTCCTAATTGAAGTTTCCGTAATATTTTCTTATGCTTAGTTGCATTGGATAATTTAGAATAAAAGATCTCATACCACTCTTCAATATCCTAATTGAAGATGATTAGATCTTCATAGGATATATTTGTCAAAAAGAAAGAAAGTTGAGCGTGTTTGGCAGATTAGAAAATGAGTAAAAATGGGAGAGAAAATCAATCTATTTTTTTTATTAACGATAGTCTGCCTCTTATACAAAAACTTCTCTTTCCTTATTATTGTGCATCAAATCATTAAATATGGATTTGTGTCACGTGTCAAGCCATTTAGTGCTATGCGAGGATACATATAAATCCAGACAAAAAAAACAAAAAAGGAAGCATTTATTAGTTCTTTTCTTTTGTCTCTTGACTCTTGTATACGCGTCAAATGATAAGTGAAAGAGTGAAAAAAAAATGTGTAAAAGAAGAAAATTTCTACCACTCCTCTACTCACAACATTAAATAGATGTTGAGAAAATACATACAAATGCTTGAAAGGAGGAGCGGTCCAATGCTACGTGCAAAACAAGAGGCTCTAGAATTAAAGCTTGGTAGTTGTTTGATTGAAGTTTTCCGACTAAATAATAAATAATAAAGTGAAAGAAAATCATCAAATATCCCACTGAAACTCTTATGATACATGTACAGGTCTGACATTAAGTATGGCATCTTCATTTATTGCACTAGATAAAATCATCTTAATAAAATAGATAAAAATAAATTAATTGTTTATTTATTTATCTACAAATGTTTTTAACATGAAAAATATACGCTTAACAAGTTTATATGCATCAAAATATTGGTTGATGTGTGATTTTGATACCAATAATCTCATACATATAAAATACTAAGAAAATCTTAAAAATTATAAGTAAATTGATTATGGGAGTTGATTTTGGTATAATAGTGATATGTGTTTGAAGAAACATAAATAAAAGATTGACAAGAGAGATTTTTATAGTAGTTTAGATGCTTAAAGTGAATCTTACATCCACTGTTATTTTATTGTTTTCTGACTACTTTTCTGATATCGCTAGTAAGACATACAAAAATTGAGTAATGCTTTGTTTACAGAGAAAAAATAATGGTTGAAGCTTGAATGTGTGCCCAACTCTCATATGTCTAGCCTCTCTTTTTCATGAAAAGAGATACCCATTTATACATTTGAGATCAATGTAATGAGTGTTTTTACAAATTGTCTTGACAAGTGGGGATCACTCCTTAATCCTTATCTTAAAATGGGATATGGTTGATATAAATGCTCTTAAGTCGGTTTGGTCTTGACAATTAAGATTATTTTTTCTTTTAACTCTTGCTAAACTTTGATTGATGGGACTGGCAGCTCATTATGATTGGTGGTACTAAGGTCAATGTAATTTTACCCATAATAGAAGCCCCCCAGTTTTTGGAGTACGTAATTGGGCTTCAAAAACTTATGTCTCTGATATGAATGGTTGTCGCACTATAGGCTGCAATCTCGAACTGAAGAGCTCGAATTATGCCTGGTGTGATTAGGTGTTGAGAGCTAGGATTGTGATCTGAAAGCTTGGAGCGATCTGAAGCTGATCACAATCTGATAACTGACATAAAATGTCTAGTAAATGAATTCCTGGAAAGAGTTGACGTCAAAAGCCCAAACGCACGGTTTAGAGGTCCTAAACGAACATGTCAACTTAAAATAGCCATAACTTTTTATTTAGAAGGATTTTTAAAGCCCATAAGATATCAACGGAAAGCTCATTTCGAGCTCTACGTCATGGGAATTGAGAAACCCATTGGGTTCATTTTTGGGCCCAAAATTCACTGTTTCGGGGCTGTTTTAAGTTTTCTACACGTTTTTTTTTTTTTACACTGATAG